GCAACGTCAGTGGTAGCAGCCTTGTCAAGAGTGAAGTACACAGCAAGAGCTCTGGGTCAGGCCGGGATGGTTAAAGCACTCCCCGAGAATAGCCCTCGATATTTCAGCTGTTGTATTGCTTATATAACCCCGTTTTTGCATCCAACTGTTGTGGTGCAGTCGACGAATTATAAAACACCTCAAATACAGATGAACTGATTGCACGAGTAGTCAACTGATTGATTCATTAAGGGCAACCATTTCCTAGCCGCTCTGCTGTACTCCCCAACTATCTGGTTTATCGTGAATGAATTACCGATGGAAAAACGAGACTAGCATTCCAACACAATGCAGAAGAGAGAAACGTCTATAATCAGCCATGTTTATAAATCATGAAGGCCGTGGCCCCAACGTTAAAGTGTACCAAATGATTCGCTTCAACTGACACGTGAGCAGCGAAATCCTTACCAACGATCACATGCCAAGTGCCTAAATAACGATGATCTACAGCAGTGCTAAGGCCTTATTCATCAAGCCATTCTAAGAATACGAAAATTATGACATATAGTCATCGTATCACAACGAAAATAGACAGCATGCCGACTTTAGACCGTACAATCCAGACACAGCGAACGTTGTTGTCACCAGAGAAATGTCGCTCGATCGCCTCCTTCATCCTCCTCGCGGCCTCTGAGTATGATCCCGAAGCTTTCTTCAACCTCTCGGCTTCGCCTGAGTATCGAGGAATTCCACCAATAGTGAAGTGGTGAACTGTCTCACATGCTTTCGCTTCCTTCAAGATGAAGTCAAGTAAGTCTTCAGACACGTCCGCCAAGTGGCGGGTGATGCGCACCTGTTTTCCGGATGATAGCCGCTGCTCATCAAACGATGATGACACTCACATGCTGGCCGGGGGCACTTGGAGACTCAAGTGGGCGGTTCGAAGAGAGATCCATCGAATACCGATTATGGTAAAATTCGAGTAATTCTTCAGAGTTGAGAACACCAAACGAAACGGCGAATCACAAAAGGCAAGGATTATGATTGAATACATTCCTTCCGAGACATCAGCTGTCGTGCCAAGAAGACGGGCCAGATCGCCTATACTTTCATCGGGAAGCATATAGGCTATCTGACCCGTTGAGCGGCTATTCCGAAAGAGTCTACCGATGCTTCGGTCTCATCGGGAATGACTTCACATGGTGGGGATATGCTAGTGAGAGGAGTCGCATCTGCATACAACGTTGCCTTCTCTTCTCGTCTTCGTGAGGTCATCTTATCGATAACCTGCGACCAGGCTGATGACGATTAGGGAGTTGAAAATTCACAAAGGACGTGCTTCGCAACGCTTGCGACCTTCTTGGCGGTATCTTCAATGGGGAGCGTGTTGTGACCCACGGCCGGCTCGCCTCCAAGCTTAGACTTTCGGCTCTCCTGGCCATGTTGTGAACTACTCGTCCGCGTACCTTGAACGATTTGAATGGACAGAAGGTGCATGATGCAGCATACTTTTCTCGCTGGGAGCAATCGACGATGGAGCTTCCACACTCAGTCGGTGATGGCTTGCTGATGGGAGCCGCATTTCGGAACATGCACCCGAGTGACTGTGGTCATCACCAAGTGACGGCACAGTAGTGATCGACTCGTACTCGATCACAGGATGCCACTTATGGACCACTTCCTGAAAGGGAGGATCAGCACTTGGTATCCAAGGGCGGTGTAAAAGACACCTCGGTGGCCGACTCCTGTTCACTAGTTGGACCCGCACACAGTGAAACCTGCTAGAAGGTGCGCACTGCAGCGCAGACCATAGCCCGTCTCACAGGCCGACTGAGCCATTCCCAGGCTAAATCCATGCTTTCTTCGAACTTCGCGATGCTCTCAGTGACCGCGTCCTTGACCTGGTATCACAGTATTCTCATCGATCCGATGGTTAGCATTGCTGTGACCTCTGATATCGTCGGGATTTTCCCTCCCATCCATGGTCTGCCGTTATTCATCCCTACCCGTTGTGACGAAGTAGTAAGGCTAAGGCCAGTTTCATCTCGTGACCAGGAAAGGCTCGACACCATATTGGTCAGCGATTCCTTGAGATCAGGAGCCCTTCCGTCATCGGAATCTCCAGAGGAGGAAGAGAGCTCCTCGTCCGCGGCTAAAATGTGACAGAGAAATCTGCACGCCTGATGTCAGACGGTGAGAGTTCACTCACTTGGTAAACCAGTTATAGAGAAGTTTACTGACGACCCAAGTGGGAATGTAGATGTCTGGAAGTTATCGGGGGTAGCCGAATGGGGTAGAAGTATATTATACGACCCCGTTGGAGGGCCGTAGTACAGGGAATGTCTACTTCTGGGATGTTCTTCCATTTAGTGTATGCCTCCACAAACGGAAGTAGGCACACTGAGCACAGGAGTTTCTTCACTACATTATAGGAATTTACACACGATTCAGAGCAGAAGTGTAGAAAAACCAACGACAACTCCCTGCGATTGTCCCTGAGGGAATCGCCCAGACTTTCCATACTGTCATCAACACATGTAGTTTCCCATGCCGGCTCATACATAATCAACATACCCTCGATGATATCTGGCTGCTGACCCTATGACGATTCTCTCTAATCCTGGCCTGAGCCACAAGGTTCCTCATTGATAACACTCAGAGCTTCAACCCAACCACCCAGAAGGCTAAGGGATAGATACGTAGATGACAGCATTGCATGTATAAAATCGATCAATTATTACGGGCCTTCAGACGAGCCGGTTCTACACACTAGTTCTATAGACTAGCCCGGCATCGAATGTTGCCTTCCGATGAACACACCAGCTAACCACTCTGAGGAAACAAGGATGAGCTTTCGACGAAGAGGACCAAGGACGATTCCTACATGTACAGTAGCGCTACAGAGAGCGTCAAAGCCGCCAGGGCGACTAGAATCCAATAGGACAGATTGGGAGCCCCCTCGAGTTGTGGGGTGAGGACGTGGACGAGCAAGCCGATGATGTGGAAAGGGTATGGTATAGGGCAATTCACTCTGGCCTTTGGAGGGTTGTGCTTAGACCACCACGCGATGAAGCGGGAGTAAAAAGTGTCAACCTGAAAGTCGACGATACGAGTAGTACTCCAATTCCGACCACTAGTGTTCTCACTCCCACGGCTACTCCCAGTGATTGAAATTGATCTCACTATTATCACTTCTATCTTCATCATCAGCATCGTTAGGACTATTACTATTACTAGTGGTATTACTATCGGAAGGATAGAATTACTATTGCTTTTTCTACCACACATGCTGGAAGTTGTTGAGAATTAGCTCTACCTGTTGTGAAGGTCGTTGAAACGACAATGGGATCTCGACCGGGTATTCAGAGGGATCCTCCAGGTCGTCGAAGCTCTTTTCACTACTGTGAGCTACTACGAGAGTATCCCGCTCACCAGCAGCAGGAATGACAGCTCCCCCAGCCCTCCACGCCCCTGTAGTCGCCTCATCTTCGACGACCCACACGTTGGTCGTAGACGATGCCAGAGGAGCGAGGATAACGATGAGAGCGAAATGAGAGGATGGCATTCAGATGCTAACACAACTGCATTGGATGCAATCATTTACAGACTCTTCACTTGAACCCCAAGTGTGCCGATGTGAGGTCAAGTTTAGCAAAGTGTGCGAAAGATGGTACAGTTCGTGCAAGTTGCATGAACCGCTAAAGAAAGCGCTCGCCCCAGTCGCTATCGGCCGATCGATACCCTTTATGGATTGGAGAAGCCCCCGTCAACCATGCAAGTTTTCGTCCGCTCACTTACTGGCAACACCGTTGCCGTCAACGGCGCCACTACCGTCGCTGATGTGAAGGCCCGCGTACAGGTGATAACACTACTGATAAACGGTTGAGCGTCTTCTTGCTGCGTGGTTCGAAATTGGTGTTGCCATCGGTTGTCGAGGATCGCATCGTCTTCTTTCGTTGCGTAGGCCGCTGAAGGCATTCCTGTTGAAGACCAGCGTATCCTCTTCGCCGGTGCCGCTCTCGAGGATGAGGTTATGCTCGCCCACGCCGGAATCACCGATGTAATAGCATGGGAAAAGGATGGCTTGCCAATTTCACGTCGTTAAATTTCAGGATTCCGTCCTCGCTCTCAACTTGGAGCTTTTGGGAGGTGGCAAGAAGCGTAAGAAGAAGACTTACACTGCCCCCAAGAAGAACAAGCACACCCATAAGAACGTCAAGCTTGCCACTTTGAAGTTCTACAAGGTCGACTCCGATAACAAGGTCCAGCGCCTCCGCAAGCAGTGCCCCAACGCCTCCTGCGGTGCCGGTGTCTTCATGGCCAACCACTTCAACCGTTACTACTGCGGCAAGTGCTCCATGACTTACCTTATCAAGGGTGAGGATGAGGAGTAAATCGCACAGTTAGCTCAAGTATCGGACACACTAGGCGTACGCCTCTTGTGGGTTGGACAAGGCTTCCGGTTTGATTTGTCGTGTTTTGTTGAGTTCTGCTAAGAAGTCAGTCAAGCGAGTGTCTGAGTGGTGCTATGATTCCAAATGGGCTACATGAACTTCTCGCGCAAAATATTGTTTTATATGGACGTTGGTTCAACAGCTATCTCGATATCCAATCGTTGGTGACAGAGATACATTAATCGATCGGGGGTTAAATATCAATATAGATTTCAGAAAGCAAATGTTTAATGT